CTTGTTTGGTTTTGTTGGTGACTTTGGAGCTGGATTTTCTTGGATTCCTTCTTGGGAAGTCTTCTGGACATCTTGTATCTGTTGTGGCTTGGCTTGTGGAGCTTGGAGTTGAAGTTTCCTTTTCTTTTAGGAATTGTTTTAGGAGCTTAGGAAATTAGGGTTTTAGGAAGAGCCATTAGAACTAGTTTTGATTCTTTCATCAAACATAGAATGCATTGTGTGCTTCTATTCTATCCAATGATGTAAAGTCCTCCTAGGGAAACTCCATCTCTCCTTTGGAGGGATGTGTGGTATACCCATAGTTGAGTAGAACTTTGAGGATGCCTTTCCATTTCAATGTTGGTACTTGATGATTTCCTTTGGTTTTCATTAAGTTCTTAACATTGTAACCTTGATCTTAGTGATTATTCCTCTGCTTGGAGTGTGCTTGCTAGAGCTTGAAGATGAATTTTGATGAAGCTTGAAGATAGAAGCTAGCTTGAGGATAAAATCTTTTGCTGTCAACTTTGCTGTCAAGAGGATTTGCTGTTTAGAGCTGCTGCTGCTGTTTGAAGTTGCTATCTGCTAAAGACTGTTGCTGTGCTTGGGTTGCTTTCTCTGCTTCTTTTCTTTTGTTGTTTTGTCTGTTTGCTTGTGTTGATTACCTCTAGGTTTGAGGTGGAGCTTGTCTCCTCTTGCCTGTTGTTTTCTCCCTTGTCTCGCTTGTACTGTTGCATAGCATGCATTTTACTGTTTACTGTTTACTGCTTGCTTTCTTTTGTTGTTTCCCCTAGGATCTCTGATTTCCTTTGTGCAAGAGGGAATTATGACAGACATTAGGTTTTGACCCATGCATGATAACTGTAGGGAGATTCCCTTCCAACCATAGTTTTAGGGTGTCTTTCTTTTCTCATCTCAAAACAATTCAAAAATACAGTAATAAGGTTAATTGAAGTCGTACGTTACGAGCCTTAAGCTATCTGGGAAAAGGTTGGTGGAGGGTCTCTCTCCAGTAATCTGGATGTTAGTGTGGTACCCTTTGGGTGACATACGAAGCGTTCACTCCTGGGTCATAGTCTCTAGTGCGACTGAGATTGCAAACATCTTAAAAAACAGTTCTTTCGTAAAAGACTCAAACAAACATTCAAACTCTGTTTTTGTCCTCTTGGACCTTTAATCAGGAAAACCCTTTCTTAAGGAGATAAAAAAACTGTCAGACAAGCCTGTGTCTTCCGTAGCCCGAACTATGTTTGCTCTGATCTTTCATGCCGTATGAAAGTACGTAGGCACGAGATGCAACATCTCGGCGAGCAACCTTCCCCCATAACCCGTAGTTAGGCAAACTACGTTGACTTTGATTTCTCGTTCTAGGCGGGAAAACGTAGGCATAAAGTGCGATACTTTGCCGAGTCATTTTCTTTTCTTTTTAACCTAGACCTTTAGAGTAGATAGATAAACATACCCTTAGATAGAAAACAAGCGTGGATCCCGTCGAGTACGACGGACGTGAGGGGTGCTAATACCTTCCCCTTGCGTAACCGACTCCCGAATCTAGGATTTGGTTGCAATGACCATTCCTTTCCCTCTTTGCGTTAGGTTTACTCTGAGCGTTTCATTTCCCTCTTGTGGGATAAATAACGCACGGTGGCGACTCTTCTGTCATAGCCGGTGCCGATTTTCGTAGTAGTGACACAGGGTAAGGTTGAGATTATTCCCCAGCAGCAGGGCAAGCTCAACGTCATTCCCCGACAGGATCTATGTCATTGAATTCTCTCCCCAAGCAGAGGTTAATGCTGATTCCCTTGACGAGTAGATCAGAAGTGGTAGACATCTGCAGCAGAGTCCAATGGTCATTGTTATTCTTCAAAGTAAGATCTTTGGGACAACTTTCCGATGGATGTTTTTCTCAATTCCCAACAGAATGGAATTATCCCTAGAAGGCCGTCCATGGCATATTCCTCAGCAAGTTTGCTTGCCGTTTCTCTCGGCACCTGTTTGTGGTGGTGTTCCTTTGCATTTGCATTTTGCATAGTATCCTTCCAAATGCGTAAATTTCCATTTCGTATGGAGCATTACGCCATATTCAAACATATGCATGTGAAGCATAAGCCAGGTTTGATACTTTTGTTGCTAGACATCTCTCCAACAGATAACGGTATAATTCATAAGCCTTTGTGGTACTTTACCCCAAAAAGAATCATCGGTGGATGTTTTCATCTTGCCTTTTGCTCCCCAACAAAGTTTGCTTGTTTAAGTTTCTCTTTCCCCAACAAATTTCTCTTTTCAGGTTGTAAATCGTTCGATTCTACTTCCTGCATATCCTAGATGTTATCCCGATTTTTGGTTGGTAGTCTATCGTTTTGTGGATGCTATCCCAACTTTTGGTTGGTAGTCCGTCGTTTTGTGGATGTTATCCCAACTTTTGGTTGGTAATCCATCATTTTGTGAATGTTATCCCAACTTTTGGTTGGTGATCTTTTCTTGGCGATCCTAACTTTTGGTTAGTAGCCTTTATCTTGACTTTTGGTTGGTAGTCTCTTTTCTTGGCGATCCTAACTTTTGGTTAGTAGCTTTCATTCCGACTTTTGGTTGGTGATCTTTTCTTGGCGATCCTAACTTTTGGTTAGTAGCCTTTATCCCGACTTTTGGTTGGTAGTCTCTTTTTTTGGCGATCCTAACTTTTGGTTAGTAGCTTTCATTTCGACTTTTGGTTGGTAATATTTTCTGGGCGATCCAAACTTTTGGTTAGTAGCTTTCATTCCGACTTTTGGTTGGTAATCTTTTATGGGTGATCCTAACTTTTGGTTAGTAGCTTTCAATTTCGACTTTTGCTTGGTAACCTTTTCTGGGAGATCCTAACTTTTGGTTAGTAGCTTTCAATTCCGACTTTTGGTTGGTAACCTTTTCTGGACGATCCTAACTTTTGGTTAGTAGCTTTCAATTCCGATTTTTGGGTGGTAATCTTCTGGGTGATCCTAACTTTTGGTTAGTAGCCTCTTCCTCACAACTCTTGGTTATAATCTTCTGGGTGATCCTAACTTTTGGTTAGTAGCTTCTCCCTCATAACTTTTGGATATAACTCTCTAGGTGATCCTAACTTTTGGTTAGTAGCCTCTGTTATCATTTTGATCAGTTATCGTTTCGGTTATCCTAACTTTTGGTTGGTACTCGTTGCTTTTAAGTCCATTTTCAGCTGACAGTCTCTTCACTCTGTATATCCACTGTGTGCAAATTTCTAGGTTCTTTTTGTATTGTATTCAATCACCTTCTACCTTGAATATTTGAAAGCGGTTGCTTTTCATACCTTCAGGTCCAAATCGATTGAATAGGGGCAGCTGTTGCACCCAAAAATTTGCCCTCGCATTTCCTAACTTTGATTGCTTTTGCTTCACATTCATCTGCATATCATCTAGGTCGATCATTTCTCGCATATTGTCCATGTTATCAGCCGGAATGGATTAATCGGAATTACAACCGCTTTGTTCGCATTTTAGACGGTTTAGACCGTTTCGACGGATAAGTTTTATTTTGAAATTGGACGGAGTGTTGCATTTCTTCCGAGTAGTTTATTTCTCGCTGATATTTTAGGCACATTCGTTATTTCGGTTTTGAGTGTCACTTAACTTTTTCCTTTTTATTTGTGAGTTATTTTTAACAGTCGTTTTAGGTTTAATTTTGATTTGTTTAGATTAATTAGATTTTTTTATTTAGCTTTTTGTAATATTAGTTTTTAATATTAATTAATATAGATTAGAATTAGAATTATTATTTAGTTAGAAATTAATTAGTAATTAGGATTTTATTAATTTGTTTAACTTGGATTTAATTTAGAATTTAGTTAACTTTAAAAATTAGACTAGATTACTTTTTAATTAGATTAGATTTAATTTTAATTAGAGTTTGATAAAATTAGGTTTTAATTAATTTTTTAACTAGATCAGTAATTAGATTGTTGTATTAGAATTATAATTTAATTTAGAGTTAGAATTAGACCTTAATTAACTTTAGTTTTATATTTGAGTTTAATAATTTTAGATTAGGACTTAATTTAATTATTTTAGAATTTAAGCTTAACCTTAGAAATTAGATTAGTTTAATTTTAAGTTATCATAGGATTGTGATTAGAATTAGTTTTTATTTTAGAATTAGTTTTAGTTTTAATTAGAATAGAATTCGTTGATTAATTTTAGAATTATTACAAGAAAAAATTAAGAAAAAAAACAGTGAGTCATCACTCTCTCAACCCTACAGCTGCTGCACTCGTACAATGCTATCCCAACAACACTCCAAATAATTTCCTATAACAAAAAAAAACTTCCGACACAGCCTGCCCACTACAACTGCCAAAACCTGCAAGATTACCACAAGTCTGCTTTGAAACAGAGCTATCAACCATAATAAGCTTCAATCCTGCAACAAACAACATCAAAAACTTGCACATTAACAGCCAACCACAATTCTGAAAAAAGAAAATTGACAACAAAAAATAACCTTTTGAAAAAATGATAAAGAAGAGAGGGGACTGTTAAAAGAAGGGGGAGAAGAGCAAAAAAAAAGGGTGAGTAACAAACAGATCGAAAGAGGAGGGAGAGAATTCTGAAAAATTGAATTCAAAAAAATAAGCCTTTACCTGCTTCAAACAACTCAACAACTCATCTCCTTCATTCTCCAATTTTGATCAATCATCAAATCTCTTTTTTTCTCATTCTTCAACCACGACGGATTTCATCAACACCCTCTCAAACACCTTGTCTCCATCCTTCTCGAAACAGAAGAATATACAACTCCCTTCAAATCCTCTAATCTGAAACCACCTCAAAATTGTTCAAAACACTTCATCCTTTCAAACCATTCACAAACACCACTTCATCTCCTCCATTTCAACCCAACGTCAACCCTTCTCCATCAAATTTTCTTCTTCCAATAGCCATTCTCCAACACCCTTTATCAAAAAACCACTTCAAAAACATCATAGTTCAAGATATCCAACTCCTTCTACCAAACCCGATTTTGAATCCACCATGAACCGTTCACGTAGCACAAACGCAACCGAAACCGTAACCACAACAACCACCACCAACCCATACCACTCGGTGTCAGACCCGTGTTTATCTTCTCACACAGAGCTTACAGAAGGTCGTCCTTCACGCAACATGGTGGAGATAATCTTTCATACAAGCTGGGGACCGAAGTCGTTTTCGGGTCGGGTTGAGATGATTTTCAAGGTTCATAACGGTTCTCGAATGGTTTCCCGGTTCGAGGAGTATCATGAAGCGGTGAAAACCCGGTCCGGTTCAGTTAACACAGGCTCAGATGATAATCATGAGGAGAATGCACGGTATATTGCAGATGGGAATGAAGTGATGAGGTTTCATTGTTTAGGTCCCACTTCTGGCGATGGTTCCTACATGGAGCTAGTGTGGGGTAGTTTATAAGTGGGAAAGGTACGAAGATTTGCATATTTTCTAGCAGTAGTGGGGGGCATGAGAGCTCTAGTTATGGTAGGGGAAGAGGGACAACCGTTTGGGGAAGAGGAGAGAGTTGGAGGGGAAAGCGGCGCAGAGGAAGGGTGTTGTTTCAATTTCCTCTTTTTAGTATTTTTAGGGTTAGATTAGATTGGGACCTGGGCCCGTTAATTCTTATTTTTCACCCCGGAATTACCTGCTACACCCCTCCAAACTTCAATTCAGTTTTATGAAGGCCATTGGGCCTGGGGGGTTTGAGGCCCAGCGAGTTTTCCCTCTGCTCGGTTTTTTTCCAGATTTACATAGGTTTAGTTTTAATTTAGTTTTATTATGTTGATTAGGTTGTTTATTAGAATTTAATTAGGAATTGTTTTTTTAATATTTTTTTTATTAAGGCTTTTAGAATTATCTTAGGATTAATTTTAGTTAAATTATTTATTTCAAATATTGTTTTATTAACTTAGAATTAGTAATGTTAACTTAGAAATGTTTTAGAATTAGAAGTTTTCTTGGTTTGGCAGGTTATTATCGGAAATTCGTTGAAGGATTTTCCAAGTTATCATTACCGTTGACGCAGTTGACTAGGAAAAGTCAAGCTTTTGTTTGGAATGCAAAGTGTGAAGGAAGTTTTCAAGATCTTAAGAGAAGATTGGCGACAACTCCTATTTTGATTTTGCCAAATCCGGCAGAACCGTTTGTTATGTATTGTGACGCTTCTTTGATGGGTTTGGGAGGTGTGTTGATGCAAGATAAACAAGTGATAGCTTATGCTTCGAGGCAACTCAAAGTACATGAGAAGAATTATCCGACACATGACCTAGAGTTGGTCGTCGTTGTATTTGTGCTGAAGCTTTGGATGCATTATTTGTTTGGTTCGAGATTTGAGTTATTTAGTGATCATAAGAGTTTGAAGTATCTCTTTAATCAGAAATAATTGAATGCAAGACAGAGGAGATGGTTAGAACTTCTGAAGGATTATGATTTTGGTCTGAATTACCATCCGGGTAAAGCGAATGTGGTAGCTGATGCATTGAGTAGAAAATTGTTGCATATGTCGATGATGATGGTAAAAGAGTTGGAATTGATTGAGCAATTTCGCGATTTGAGCTTGGTATGTGAGTAGACTTCTTACGGAGTTAAGCTTGGTATGTTAAAGCTTACTAGCGGTATTCTTGACGAGATTCGAGAAAGAAAGAAATCTGATTTGGGTTTAGTTGATCGGTTGACTTTGATCAATCAAGGTCAAGGTGGTGAATTTCGGATTGATGAAAATGGTATCATGAGGTGTCGTGATAGAGTTTGTGTTCCTGATGTTGTTGAGCTGAAGAAGAGTATTCTTGAAGAAGGACATCATAGTGGGTTGAGTATTCATCCGGGTGCTACTAAGATGTATCAAGATTTGAGGAAAGTATTTTGGTGGCCTCGTATGAAGAAGGATATTGCCGAGTTTGTGTATTCTTGTTTGACTTGTCAGAAGTCAAAGATTGAGCATCAGAAACCGTCAGGTTTGATGCAACCGTTGTTTATTCCTGAGTGGAAATGGGATAGAATTTCTATGGATTTTGTATTTGGTTTACCGAGGACACCGAGTAACTTTGAAGCTATTTAGGTTATTGTGGATAGATTGACCAAATCTGCTCACTTTATTCCTATGCGAATGGATTACCCGTTAGAGAGATTGGCAAAGCTGTACATTGAAAGGATTGTCAGTTTGCATGGTATTTCGTCTAGCATTGTGTCAGATAGAGATCTGAGGTTTACTTCGAGATTTTGGGAAAGTTTGCAAAGTGCTTTGGGTATGAAGTTACGTTTGAGTTCAGCTTATCATTCGCAGACCGATGGTCAGACTGAGAGAACGATTCAGTCACTTGAGGATCTTTTGAGAGCTTGTGTGTTGGAGAAGGGAGGAGATTGGGATAGCTACTTACCTTTGATTGAATTTACTTACAACAACTTTCATTCGAGTATTGGTATGGCACCGTTTGAAGCATTATACGGTAAACGGTGTAGGACACCATTGTGTTGGTATGAGTCGGGAGAGAGTTCTGTGGTTGGACCCGAGATAGTCCAGCAGACTACCGATAAGATTAAGATGATTCGAGAGAAGATGAAGATTTCTCAGAGTCGTCAAAAGAGTTATCATGATAATAGGAGGAAAGCACTTGAATTTCAGGAGAGAGATCATGTGTTTCTTTGAGTCACTCTGATGACTGGTGTTGGTAGGGCATTGAAGTCGTGTAAGTTGACGCCGCATTTTATTGGTCCTTATTAGATTTTGCAGAAGATAGGAGAGGTAGCCTATCGTGTTGCTTTACCACCGTCGCTTGCTAATCTCCATGACGTGTTCCATGTATCTTAGTTGAGGAAATACATTGCGGATCCGTCTCATGTAGTCCAAGTAGATGATGTGCAGGTGAGAGATAACTTGATTGTGGATACATCACCTATGCGGATAGAGGATCGGGAGTTGAAGCAACTTCGAGGCAAAGGGATTGCTTTGGTGAAGGTCACTTGGGGAGGACCGGCTGGTGGAAATGTGACTTGGGAACTTGAGAGCCAGATGAGAGAGTCTTATCTAGAGTTGTTTGAAACAGGTAACATTTTCGAGGACGAAAATTCCTAAAGTGGGGGAGGGTTGTAACAGCGCAATTTTCAATAATTAATTGATTTATATTAATTAATTGATTTATTTGGATGATTTTAATTATTGTAATTATTGGTAGATATTTGAGAGGAAATATGATGGAAGGAAATAGAATAGAAAGGCATATAAGGAAAAGTGGAAGGAAAAAGGAAAGAATAGAAACATAAGAGAAAGAGAAGAGAAAGAAAGAGGAAGAGGAGAAAAGAGAAGGAAAAGAGGGGAAAGCTTGGAAAGCTCAAGAACAACTTTTAGCTTCGATTTAATCAAGGTAAGGGTGTGAAATGTTGTTATCTTGTCAATGTATATGATTATGTATGGATTGTTTTGATTGTTTGGATGTTTTTCTCCGTTTTCCATTTTAGGGCAGAAATGAGTTTAATCGATTGAATCGATGTTTTAATGGTTAGAATCCGGAGTTTTTGGTGTAGTTTAGTCGAGGAATGTTAGGCTAAGACTAATGGAACTTGTTAAAATTGAATCGTGTGATTTGGGAGCTTCTGATGAAATTTGGACAGTTGGCGTTTTGAACATCGCAGACGTTTGCTAGCACCTTCGCTAGGCGAGCAGGTCGCGAGTGTTCGTTGTAGCTCACTGTAGCGAGCTAGTAGCGAATGGTCCCAGACTTGGACAGAATGTAATTGACCCTCTTCACTGGTAGCGAGTAGGTAGCGAGGGGTTCATTAGGCGAAGCCCCAGCGAGTAGGTAGCAAAGCCTTACAGTAGCTTCTGTTTGCCTTCACAAGCTTGTTCGCTAGGCGAACAGGTAGCGAGTGTTCGCTAGGCGAGCAAGCCAGCGAGCGTGACAACATTTTCATTTCCTTGTGATTCCATCCAATGTTGATTGTTTGGTTCGATTGTGTTCAATCTTGATCTGAAATGAGTAATTGTGTGTTGTTATATATATGTTGTGGGTAGCCGTATGGCGTGAATCCTAGATTGTGGAATCGATTGTGGAATGTGGTTTCTTTGATAAATATGTGCATTGTTTGAATTGATTAAAAATGCATGATGATTTGTGATGAAGTTTGTTGCCGTTTGGCACGATGATGTGAATGCATATTGTTTGTATGCAATGTTGTGAATAATGCATGAGAACATATTGTGAATATGTGTGCATTGTTTGATAAATATGGTGATGGTATTGGATTGTAAATGCATATTGATTGTATGCAATATTGTGAATAACGCATGAGAACATATTGTGAATATGTGTGCATTGCTTGATAAATATAATGATGTTGAAAGTATGAATACTTTGATATGATGTGTGAGTGTGCAATCATGTTATAATTCTTATGTGATGAATTATTTGAGAATGCATGAGATTAAGATGCGAGAATGGTCTTAAGTGCATTTGGTTGTTGATTGCATACGCATCATTTAGTCAAGAGGCAATGCTTGCTAGTTTCGTGGAGACTAGTGACTTGTCCCAAACCTAGAAGAGTGGGTTTGAAAGCTTAGAGGACGGGCTTTTGTTGTTATCGGTCTAGAGGACGGACCCGGTTTAAATGTAAAAACCAAAAAATGATAACAAGTGTTGGTACCACATGGCATGAGTTGCATTGAGTTGCATTGAGTCATATGGCATAGAGATAAATGTTGTGTGAATGTATGCATATGTGTATGTTATGTGGATTGATGAGAATTATGGATGTGCGCATGATGAAACATGTTTGGTGATTATCCATATTTGTTTATACATATATTGTGATATATATGATGATGATAATGAATTATGGTGAGAAATGCGGAATGTGTGTATTCTATACTTGTATGTATATATAATTATATGCATTGATTATTATGATAATATTTCTCACCCTTCTGCTATTTTATAATGCTCTATGAGGCATTGCAGATTAGGTTTGCTGGAGGTCTTTTGTGAAGTATAGCTTCATTCTTTTGGTCGGTTAGCTCTGATATGTAGCACCGGGTAGTTAGGATTGTATAGCATTCTTTTGTGATACATTTGTATATGTATCTGTTGACAAATGTTTATGTAAACTTGAATGATGTGGTGAATCAAACTGGATGATATGTATTTATATGATTACATGTTTAGAATGATTCAATGTTTAGATTTTCCGCTTTTAATTCTAAATATTGAGATGTGGGTGTAAGGACTAAGTTCCTCTATTGAAGCTACCCCACTGTTGCATGTCTTTTATAGAGCAGGTGTTGTATGTTTCAATTTTGTGTGTGATGTTACATACCTCTTTTATACCATATTTTAATTATACTGATGAAATTTTAATATGTGCTTAAATGATTTATTGTTTATTTGGGGGTATAGAAGGGGGTGTTACAGGATGAGTGCCAAAATCAA